GTATTAATAACTAGTGAGCTATAAAAACTGGAGACAAAAAATGATCCATCTGATATTTTTAACATCTCCTCTGAAACGCAGGATGATCCCTTAAATGCCCTAATGTGCTTTATCAGAATGAGTTTTAAATAATGCCCTAAAATCAGGAATTTTGGTGACTGATGTGTGTCTGTGTGTCCATGATTGCAGCTACAGATCTGGATCAATTACTAGTGAAAATTTCATCTGAATTAGGTATGAGCTCATGCTCATGCTGCAGGTGCTTTAGGTGGAACACTAAATACGGTGTTTATTCCAAGGTGTCCTATATGGGTGTGTAGTTTTATATACTATGCTGCACTTCCTATTTGCTTACCTTGTAAATTGCGTGACAGTCTGGATTCTATATGTTTATTGAATCAGAAATGCTGTTTCTTACTGGACTTCCTGGGCTGCTTTTATGTGGCTGTGTTGTCCCTCCAGCAGATATTGATGTTGTTGAAGTTCCCCCTGAGGACCAGGGCCTGTGAATGTGAGGCTGTTTTTATATCTGTCTGTAGAGGGCATGATCCACTTGTTTTTCCTGGTCAGGTGAACTATAGCAGGCACCCACCATAATGTCACCTTTAATCCTAACCCATAAACTCCCAGTTGGCTATTTTTCCTTCCCCAGGCAGAGCTCCATGCACTCCACCTGCACAAGTCACACAAAGGGTGACTTCTGCAACGCCTCATGTTCCCTTTCTGTCCTCCACTCTGCAACACTCCAGTCATGGGACCCATCCCACCACATCTCTGTGATCCCAATAAGTTTGCAGCCCCGGAACTGCATGCAGATCTCCGAGTCGTCATGTTTACTCCCCATACTGCATGTATTAGCATACAGGCACTTGAGGGTCACCTCAGCATGGGAAGGGCCATATTCATGACAGCATAGTTAAAGTTTGTGGAAATCCGTGCCAAGCTCAGCAAGATGACCAGAATTAAACTACCAGTGACAGCTGAAAAGAGGATTGCTGTGGAAGTCATCAAACTCCAGCCCTTGATGTTCTGCTGTCAGTCTTCTTCCCTCACCACACTAGCAGAAAAGATCTACTTCTCTCTGTTATGCTTCTGGATTCTGTGGATTATCTTGAATGCTTTGCTGCTGTCACTGCTGGTTGATGTGACATGTGGACTGTGCTCTTTCTCACAGGTCTTCCCTGGCAAACCTGTTTCAGTAGATGAGATTTATTTTTACGACTAAATTAATATATTTGATTTTTGCCTGATGCTTTCTTTTAGCTTCTGTAGTAATTAATTGGCTACTCAAGCATCTGCTACTACCTAAACAGCTGTTGAATGACAGTGGAATAAACTGATCAGGTCTGTACTCCTTGTAATTATGATTGTGCTGCAGACCAAAGAGTGCACAGAAAGGAAGATGTTTCATTTTGTTTATGTATTTGGGTAGAGCTGGATGCTGAGTTGACAAGCAAATCAGCCAGGAAGAAGAAGTGTTGGATTAGGGTAGACTACATGAATAGCTTGATGAAAACATGGCAAGGCTAGATCTTCCTATTAGCAAGAGCACCTCTTGAATACTTAGGCCAAGGTGGGAGCAGTCTTTGCCTGGTTGTTTTTTTTAATTCTATCTTTTCATGATGCCTGCTTTTAAGAAATGTCTTCTCTAGCTTTGTCTCTCACAAAGGTCTGGTGTGTTTGTTCTAATTTTATTCCTCTTTGTCAGAAGATGGAAATTGTCCTTCAACAAAGGGAAGATGCAGATGCTTTTGCAGAAAACCTGTTTTATCATAGTTTACGTCTCCATTATTGGTGCTACAGTAAAGCTTCCCATAGGAATTGGGAATAGTTATATGGCCCTCTTGATTTTCTTGTGGACTTATTTGAAGGTATTGGTCTCAGTTCTGTACTGTGTCAGGTTTCTAAGACTGCAACAGTAACATGTTTGAGTGAATTTTTCTAATACCCCTTGCAGTGACTTCTGGAGCAAACCTTTAATCTCAACCATATCAAGGGCAATTCTGGAGAGTATGCTTGCTGGCCACACAGTGTCCATAATTTCTGTCACTGTGTGTGTAGCAAGTGACATCTATCTATCTTAACAACTGATGTGTGTGCAATCAATGTGATTTGGTAGCAGCCAGAAAGAAATTCCTGAGGCTGGTGAACATGTCAGTAGAAGAAAAAGAACTTTCTTATTAAGAAAGGTGGTATCATTCTTAGGAAGTTTGAAGGTAGGGGGTTGTAGTGTGGATGATGAAAAAGGAACAAGAAACAGCTAATGAAATGACTTACGGGCTATCAGAAAGAGGTCTAAGCATAGGTCTCCAGAGAAACATGCTTTGGATTTGTGACCAATACAGTGCTTTAGCTATTGCTCCCCAGTGCTTGCACAGTGTCAAGGCTTTTCTGTTTCTCACTGTCATCCACAGCGACTAGGCTGGGGATGGGCAAGAGTTTGGGAGGGGACACAGCTGACCTGTAGTGACCAAAGAGATATTCCATACCAAGTAATGTCATGCTCGGCAATAAAACTGGTGGGTTTTTCCCCCCCAAAGTAGCTGTTGCTTGGGGACTGGCAGGGCATCTGTCCCCTTGGGATGAGTTTGGCTGGGTTTATTTTTGGTTTTGTTTTTCATCACTTTTGCCCTTCTTTTTCTTTCCCTCATCCCATTGCAAGGGTGTGAGCAAGAAACTGGGTGGGAGTTTACCTGCCAGCCAGGTCAGCCTACAACACCTGATATCTGCGAATTAGGGTTACGTTTCTATAAATCTGCTATTCTGCAGTGTTAAAAACTCAAGTGACTTTGGCTTTTGGTGTCATGTTAGAAAGGAGGATACAGCACACAATCTTCCAGAGGTTATCTCTGAAATTGGTATATACTAACTGATTTATATTAAAAATGAACTTTATTTTAGTGTTGGAATAGGAAAATACTGAAGGGATGTACAGTAATATGTGGGGAAAAGAGAAGGAAAGATACCAATTTGAAATATGTTAAAGTTTGAAGAAAGTAATTCTTTGTTAATTAGGAAAATTTTGTCTTATTTGAAAGGCAAAAATCCACCTAGTTTTACTTTCAGGGAAGCCTTGAATTTTAGAATTGTTTGAAGATAAATAATAGTTATTGGAGGAACAGATCAAATTGCTTTTATGTTGATTCCTAAAGGAGAAGATTTCTTGAGTAACTTCATATATGAACTAAAGAATTGTACTGATTCCCTTAAATGTTTAATACAGACACATGAAAAAAACAGAATTTGAGTGGAAAAGGATGGAAGAAAATCATGGTAATCCCAAAGTGCTACTTTACAGTGAATTGGGTTAATATTTTGATAAGTTTTTGTGCAAGTTTTCTGTAAGGAAATGTGAATGTTGTCTTGGATCCCAGTAAGAATCACTTTGTTGGATTTCCTACCTCTGTCATCAGACCAAAGTTGTGGGGTTTTGTTTTGTTTGTGTTTTAGTGCCTGGGAGGTCTTGAAACAACTTCAGGATCCTATCAGCTGAGTAACTTTTACACACCTGTAAATTGTTGTTAACTAAAACAGCTAGTCATGCTGGCCAAGAGCTTGAGAATTACATGCCGTGCATAGTACTTGACATGTTCAGAGCCTGTCTTTGTAAGCGATAGTATTCCATGTTTTAATATCAAGTTCTTTGAAAGCCAGGAGAGTTCCTCCATTCATTCTTTTAAAAACAAATCCACTATTGTAGGGCTCGCAAATAATATTCCTTAAAAGATTACGTTGGTATTTGTATGTCCGTGGGTGTCAGTAGTATTGTTTGCTAATGTGGTGGAACTAGTCACTCTATTTTCCTCTGGAAATGCCCCAGTCCTTTATAATCAGTTCTCTGTAGCTCTTGTATCTTTGGGTTGGGCTGTAAGAAGATATTAAGTGACCTGGGTTTATTTGTGTCGTGCCACTGGTGCTGGGTCATCTGATGGAGTTTCTGAGATAATTTTCTGACTTTCTTTAATAACTTTAGGCCAGATTAATCTTAATCTGTTGTTCTTCTGGTATGTTTAGTTTTTTCCTCCACAGTCTTGGAGCATTTTTTGGTTAGAGTGGTTACTAGTTACAGCAAGCCAAATATCTGCCAGACAAATGGGTGCTTACCATATGTAAAGTGACAGATGATCCTGTTCATCCTCTGCTACCCAGAGTAAACAGTTTTCTGCAAAGGGAATTTGTCCTTCCCTTTATATAATTTTTTGAGCTCTGTGAGTCCTGGATAGACATTTGCTTATTCAGACATAAATGTAGCTTTTTTTTTACAATTTACTTACTCTCTTCTGTTTAGGACAAAGAAATGTCTTGAGATTAGATTTGGGGCTTTGAGTGCAAGGCTGAGACAGAGGAATATTTCATGCTGTTGTTGTTAGCGAGTTGCTTAATTACTCAGAATGTTGATTTACTTACCCTTGATGCCTGTAATAAATATTTCACATATAATTATCGAACATTAATACTTTGAGATTGGCAGTGATTTGTAGCAGTTGTATAATGAAATAGCTGTTGGAGGTGAATGAATAGCAGTAAATTTTGAGTGCAACTTGTATTAACTAATGAGTAAAAAGGGGGGGGACTATTCTCTGGGACTAAATGATTTTCTAGACATTTTTTGTCCTATATTGCTATGATGTATTTATAGATGAATATATGAGGAATGTATCTACATATGAAAACCTTTTTATTGGTAAATTCAATTGTTTCTTGGTGCTGTCACTTGCTTTTTGTAAGTTAAAGAGAAATGAAAGTATTGTATAAAGTGGATATTGATATTTTATAATTTTGGGGTTTTATATAGACCTGTCATTACGAATCCATTCTATTCTTTTGTTGTGTTGCTGTTAAGTTTAATTCTTTGTGAGTCTTCATCTTGAAGGATTAATGTTCACTAGCCATGGATTCAGATGTAGTAACTAATATTGAGCACATTATAAATGGATGTTAGAATAATTTGGTAATACCATATTTTAATAAAAATTCAAAATTGTTTTTTGTTTTATCAGCAAACACGTATCTCTTTATGATGCAAGCTCGTGGTATAATGTTGAGAGAAAATGTTAAAACAATAGGACACATGATCAGATTGTACACTAACAAAAATACTACACTGAATGGCACAGGTAAGAATATTTCTTATTTGATTTCATTTTTAAAAGAGCTTCATGGGGAAAAAAAAAAGTGCCAAACCTTAATGACATGGATTGATTATGAAAACCTAGACCCAAGTCCTACTTCTCTGTAACTGGAATGAAGGCCAAATAGTTACTGTTTATCAGTTTCCTACTTTAGTAGGAAATACTTGTATAGCTGTAACAAGGATATCTTAATTTTTGTTCCTTTAGTTCAGTAAAATGTTTTTTTAATTGTGCTGCTAGGAATTTGTTACTTGCAAAGTTAATGCTCTGGTGTGCTTGATAATATGTTACAAATTCAGTGGATAATGTAGGTTTTTACAAAAATCAATTCCTCTTTTTAAGATTATCCTGAAGGAAACAATTCTAGTGACTGTGTTGCTCAAACAACAATGTATCTTCCAGAAAACTTCACTTACTCTCCTTACCAGGCTTGTCCAGAGAAGCTGCCTTTCATGAGTAAGTTTTAAACTGACCTTAATGTTTATCTAGTAAATTGGATTGTACTTAAAATGGAATACAATTATATTAGTATAAAATATAATTCTAAGGAGTCCAAATATACAGCAGAAAATAATGAATAAAATACATCTGAGAATGAACAATAATGTTTAGCAGAATTTTGCCCGTTACTACTGTGTTACTAAAACTTTTGGTCTCTTCACTAATTGCCTAATGTGTTTTAAATTTTATTTACAAATCGTTTTACTTTCTACAAATCAAATACTAGGTGTTTTTATTAATACGTAGGAATACTCTAAATTTATTAAAAAGTACTCAGAATTGCACATTTTGAGGAATAGTTAAGCATTTCCCTTTGGGAAGTGGTATTCCTTATACAAAGATTCATAAATCAGAAACTAGTTCTCAGATCTTCATCACCTAATCACAGTTACCTCAATATATAGGAAATTGAACAAGATGGTGTAGTGAAGTGAAAATTGATGAAGGTAGGAAAGTGCTAAAGCCCTGTCATAATGAGGAATTAGTACTTATGTAACAAGTGAAAAATTGTAATCCTCAGGAAATTTTAAAATTAAGCTTTCAAACCCAGACGTTTAAGATCCCAAGCTATTAAATGGAACTTGATTAGATAATCCTAACTTTATTAATTTTTAAGCCTAGAATCTAAACTTGTAATTACTTTGTTTGAATGCGTTTAGTTGCGGAGGAGTGTCATGCAGAAATAAGAAACTGAGTTGACTACTTTGGCACCATTGCTGTTTTGGTTTGCTGGGTTTTTATAAAACCCGTAATATCACTGCTGTCCCAAGTAGTGGTACCCCAGTGTATGCAAGTCTTACAAGCAGGTATTGCACAATTAAAGCAGTTACGCAAACTGAGATTGGAAGTGTTCCTTGATGTAATTTGATGTCCTTAACCTGATTTAATAATGTGATGAAAGGCTATGGATGTGATTTTGTCTTCTTTCCATAGAAAAAGTATAGCTTTGTTTGGGGATATTCTTAAAAATTCCTGTTAAGAACTGTAAACTTTCATGTGAGTTCCCCTTTCCTGCAAACTTGCTATTGTTCAGATTCAGACAAAATTCTGGGCATTGTTTCCTCTCCTCTGTCTTGTAGAGAAAGCAATCCTTAAAGACCAAGGCATGTTAGGTGGGAGACCAGTTTTGAACATTGAAAAGAAAGAGGCAAATCGCTCCTATTGGTGACTGCTTTACCTTGACCTTCACTACTGATTGTTTGCTACTAGAGACAGTACTTACATTTAACCTTTATAAAATTGCAGTCCTTGGCTAAAATAGAGTTCTGTCTTAGAAACCACTATTGAGTTTCCAGCTTTTTCTCTGTGTTAGGAATTGTTATGTTATCAGAGTTGCTGTAGGAAGCAAGGGATGATTAAGTATAAATGTTTTTTTGTGCTCTGTATTTGGAAGAAGTCATGGCTTGAGTCAGTAATTCCTTGGAATTACTTCAGTTCTAGTAAATGTTCTGTAGACAGACTTAATATTTTTGAGTGAAAAACTAGTAGTAGCATTAGTACAGAACTCAAAGCTAATTAGTTAAATTGAAATGTCTTATTTGGTGTCAGAATGTGCCAACTAGAGAAGAAGATTCAACAGCTCTGTAAATAGGTGTAAATATGTTACTAGAAGTGACTGTTCATTAGTATCTGTTATGCTAATGTTTATTTTAGTTGCTATATTTAAAATCAAAATAGTAAACTGCTGATTTGTAAGAGAGAAAATTTGAAGTAGTTTCTGAAGAAATTTGTGACACCTTCCAGAGTTCTAACCTCATCTTTTAGGCTAACACCTGACCTAAGCTGTGGGCTGTCATTCTGCATGAGCAAGTAATTAAGTATTTAATATAGCAGTTGAGATCCATAAAAACCAGTGTTGCTGACAGCCAAACTGAATTGCTGATCATTTTTTCTTCAAATAAAAAAATAGTGGATTTTATTAGGCTAATCTGGATTCCATTATAACATATTTTTTAACCTCAACAGAGAAATTTACCCAGTGAAGAGTACAGTAACAGTGGTTGTTACCTGTGTTTCTTTTTAGTGCCTCCAAATTCTAAACTTTGCCTCTTACATTGTAACTATACAGACATAGAGCTGGAAGTGTAAATCAGTTGCTGTTGCTTATGAATTGAAATCATGTAGAAAACTGTCTTAAACCAAGAAGCGATTAGCCACAATGTGACTATATCATTTCAGTCTCTTTCCCTCCAGAAATAGGGTTTGACTTTGAAAATAATGTGGATTTTTTTGTGGTTTTATTTGTTTACGTGTGCAATATTAAATTACTCCAATAGTAAATATTTTAGGTACTTTGGGGAAAAAATGAAAAGTTAAAAAAAAATGTCAACTCTGGATAACCAGAGAAACAAGAATGATGATTATGCTGATTGAAAAATGCGTTTAAATTAGTGTTTTTAATGAAGCTTTCAAGTGATCTGGCAGTTGAATTCTGCCAGGTTAGTTAGTTTAAAGCTGTTTCTGTTACCTGTTCTACTTGTGTATTAGTCTGCTGTCCAGGAGTGGAGAGATGAGACAAACTAGAAGGTTCCTTAGTAGGTCAGCCTATTTATAACATGTTATCTTAAATAATTGATGCAGATTTGTTTTCATTGACCCAGAGTAGGGATGCGTTCTGCTCTGTCATCCTTATTATCATTATAGCCTCATTGGCTATATGTAATTCTACCAGAATTTGTCTATAGGTCTCCTTATTGCTGCTCTCTTTTCCATCTTTTTTTTATTGGTAATCTCATTGTACTTATTCTGTCCTGATTAATTTAATAGATAAATCATAATTTTAATCGCAAATCATTCACTGGATAAGTTACTGTTCAGCAAAGAGATGTATGTCTCACACTTTAGTTTTCGGGTAGACCTTTTTAATCACCATCTGTGTGTTTAATTATAATCTAAGTAAAACTTCTCTGAAGATTATTTAATGCAGTGAAATGTTGTAGGTGGTCCTGAGATAGCCAAGAAGGAAAGCTTCCTGAATCACATATATTTTGACCCGCTTAATAGTCTAAGTTTATTAGAGAAGTCAGCTACTCTTTACATCAAATTGCCAAATTTGTATCATGAAAGGAGTATGGTAAAATCATATTTTGTCCCAAGTACATATGCTCTTAAAATAGGACCAGCTAGTGCCTTTTGTGTGTGACTGTCTCAGGTTATAAGCCACTGGTTGAGCACTGATGTGCTAATTCATAAGCAAGACACATCTACTTCAAGATAGAAGAAGTACAAAATGGTCTTTAGTCAACATAATTTCAATACTGACTTGAGAGGTAAATGGAAAGTAGATCAGTTTTTTCAGTAATATGAAATAAACCCCTCAAGAATTTTTAAGCAGTCTGCCCAAGTCACTTCATGGTTTATCTAAGAACTGGCTCTTAACAAGCTGTAAGAAATATCTAGATCTTCTAGTTTGATGACTACACTGGTATTGAATATACCTAAACCATTTAAAATAGATATTAGAAAAATTTATTTTATATTTAAAAAAAAAAAGTTGTCAGTGGAGGAAGTTTTACCATCTCCAGAAGCAGTATATTTTAGTATTCCATCACCTTGAATAGTTAAGCTTTTTCTAATACTCAACCTGCATTTACTTTCTCTTTTATTTATATTTTTATCCCCCCATCCTGCAAGCTAGATTTCTTCTTGTCCTTCTTGATGCTTGGAAAAAAGTTGGTTACCATCTATGTACCACATTATTCTGTCTTGGAAAAGACTTGGTTTTGTTAGTCTCTTCCTTTGTAGATAAATCAGTACTTTCAGCCTTTCTAGACTACGTAGTTTCTAAAGCTCTTGTAATTCTTTATTTTTGTACTGTACTTTCTCTAATTTGATTTCCTTTTGAAGCATCATAACCAACTAAAACCCTGGCTACAAAACAAACTAGCAATTACCTTCTTTGCCTTTCATATAACAGTCGTTAATGTATTCCAGAATGAGGTTTGCCATTTTTGTGCAATTGCATTAGTTTATTGTCTCATATTAATAGGCAGTCCATTATAAACTGTCAAAATATATTTCTGCATACTGCAGCATAACCAGGCATTTCCTGTTTTATGTGTGTATGCTTCACTTCTTCAGTAACAATCCATACTTTTAAAATGTCACTATTGATTTCACTACGTATCTGATTTGTTGAAATTATTTTGGTTTTTGATTCTGTTCTTCAAAATTCCTTCTGCTTCCTCATCTTTCTTTTTTTGTAGGTTGAATAATTATGTTTACTGCAGCATGCTAGACAGTAATGGTAGTAGTGAATACTAAGCCCAGATATACACCGAGATGCCTGCTCCTGCCCTCCACCGATGATGGGGAAATCCTGCTGATTTCTATTCGCTCATATCCTGTGTACTTCTGATTGTACCAATATTTCATGATTTACTGTAGCTACTTTTTTAACAGTCTGGAGAGCAGCGTTTCATTGTGCCACATCAAGTTAAAAGCACCTGCCTTATATAAATAGTGTTTTACCATTCCTCCTTAGGTTTTTGGTTTTTTTTTTTTAGTTTAACCTGGAAGCATCTGATCACATCTAAACTTTTTCAGGAGACTAAGGGGGGCTGAGTCCTTTGCATCGTGAGTTGTTTGCTTCCTTCTCTGGTGTAGTAATTGACCTTTATTTATCTTTGTTTTCCTATAGATTTTATAAATAAACTAAAAGCTTCTTGTTGCTTTTGTGTCTCTTGGTAGTTGAAACTGATTTAGTGATCTATTTTTTTTCTTTTTTTAATTTAATTTGTACATGTTGATACTCTATACAATGATCCTTTGTAGACTGCCCTTGTTTCTACATTTTGTAAGATTTCTTTTTCAGGTTATTGAATAGTTTCAGATACAACCAAAATGATCATCTAAGCTTGTTATAATTTTTTTTTTTTAATTATTTTTATTTAACGCTCTGTAGGATTAGCTTGTTCTGGTGTATATTTATGCAGTCTTTTTTCTGCCAGGTTTCATTTATCTTCTAAAATAAATAAATAAATGTGAGTTTGTTTAAATCTGCTCTTAAGGTCTTCTCCATGGTGTGCTGTTTGTGATTCTTCTTTTTCCTATCATTTTCCTTTTTTCTTTTTATAAAAGTTACCTTCTACATTTACAAGTAGTTCTACATTTAATCATATCCAAAACTAAAATAGCTCTTATAGTATATTCTGCCTTCTTCTGAAAACAGTAGTTATTCCTAGTATGATTCAAAAATTTCAATCTTTTGAAAAGACTTAGATAGCTAGTTGATTCAGTGTTACAACATCAAGCAATCTTTTGGACAGAAATCGGATCTTTTGGGTATGGGCACAGGGGAGAAAGTAGAAATGATTTCTTTCATTGACTTTAAAATTCTAACACTTGCCAAAAGACTTCAATTTTTATACAAAAATAAGTAGAATATTTTATGGCATCTGTCAGATAGTTATTGCAGGATTTCTGTTTGATGATCTAGTATAATATTTGCTGAAGAACACCTTGAGTTTCTGGTCAATGAGTGTTATAGTACTCTTACCCAGATTTTGTTGGTTTCTTTTACTTCTGCTTTTGATGAGGTTATTTACTATGAATCATTATTTCCAGTTTTGAAATTTATGCACATGCATAAGCTAATGACTGACAACTTTTAGCTATCAACTAAATGTAAATATTGTCTCATAAATCTCACCTGATTTTTCTGCTACTATACTGTGCTCTTTATTCAATCTTACTGAATTCCACTCTCATCAATAGCCATTTGTGAATGCTTTTCCCATTGGGCTAATTAGTTCTATCGGTGGTAATTTGCAAATTGAGCCATTTGCTGTAAATTGGTTTGATGCAGACAGTGGTGAATTAGGGGATGAAGGCATACATGAAATGTGTGTAATGATCTATAATTTAAATTGAGGAAGTTTGTTGAGTGTAGTGATGATGCAATTTCTTTTTCTGTGGAAGCGCATGTAGGAAGACACCCGGAATTTGAATATCAGTTCAGTAGTGCAGATATTACGGAATTGTTAACAGTGGTACTTGAAGGTGACTAATTTTCTGGAATAGATAGAGAATTCAAATTATTTTGCTTGTTCTGTGTCCTCTGAAATTAGTATTTTGCTTATGATTTATTGAAGGAATGTTTATTTTGGGAAGTCCTGAAATTCGCTCTGTAAAAACTGAATATTAATAAGGTAGTAAGAATGATTTCTTTTTTATGTGTATGTAGTATAACTACAAATTTCTGGTGCTTTTCGTCTGTGATATATCTTGTAGCGTTAGAGCTGTTGTCATAACTGAAATTAATAAATATTTTTTTTCCCCTCTGTTTAGGAGGCCTTATCGATGTCAATATGAGTGAAATTAGTTTTGATGAAATTCAGCAACTGTTTTCAAAAGATTTAGACATTAAACCAGGAGGACACTGGAAACCAAAAGACTGTAAGCCACGATGGAAGGTGAAATGATGCTTTTCTGTTTTTTTTGTTTTTTTTTTTTTTCTTTGTTTTTTTTTCCTGTTGGTGTATAGCAATAATTTACCATTACAAGTCCTCAGTCTTTTACTGCTATATATTTTATATAGTATGTATTATGTTTTAGCATATATATTATGCTATCTGTGCTTACAAAGTAAAGCTTAAAGAAAAACTTGAAATGCATTGTCAAGAATTTCTAAAAGTTCATTAACTGTTCTTACTAAATGTTCTATCATATGGATGCAAACGTGTCCTATGTATATGTTGCTTAAAGTATAATTAGAAGCAAGTGAACATAAAAGGAAAATCTTATTTATATTTTACTCTGAATTTTTTTTCTTTCTTTAATTGTTTGAGCGATATTCCAATACCCTTTCCTAGAGGGAGCAAAAGAGCAAAACACCAAGCCAACTGAAATTTAAAGTTGAAAAGCCTATGTAAGCCATGGGAAACTTGATATGTATTGAAACATTAAAATTGAAGAATACTGATATAATAGCTTTATATATATATATATATTTATAATTTTTTGAAGGTGGCAATCCTTATTCCTTTTCGGAATCGCCATGAGCATCTTCCAATTTTTTTCCGTCATCTGATACCTATGTTGCAGAAGCAGCGGCTGGAATTTGCCTTCTATGTTGTTGAACAGGTAGAGGCATTTGCTTGAAAAGATTCCTTACTAAAGGGGATTCGATATTCTTGTCAAGATTTAGATGAATTCAGAATTTAAAAATTGTTACTCTGCTGTTCTAATCCTTTGAATGAAAAAGGAAAGTACAGCTCTGCTCCCCAGTTTAAGCAGCGGCCACATACGTGTTGCTTTACTTCAAGTATGGGCTGATATTTTATAGGTGGTAACACAGCTTCTTTAATTCTATTGTCTTTGTAAGTTTTCAAGGACAAAAAAATTGGGCTATATCTGGCTGCTGACTGGCCACCAGCAGTGTTCCTCGGGGCTCAATTCTAGGGCCAGTTCTGTTCATTATATTTATTAACGATCTGGATGCAGGAGTTGAATGCACCACTAGTAAGTTTGCTGATGATACCAAACTGGGAGGTGCTGTTGACTCTCTCGAGGGACAAGATGCCTTGCAGAAGGATCTAGATAGATTGGAGCATTGGGCTATGATTAATGGAATGAAATTTAACATGTCAAGATAATGGATTCTGCACCTGGGATGGAATAATGCCAGGCAGAAGTATAAATTGGGAGAGGAGTGGCTGGAGAGCAGCCCTGCAGGAAGGGATCTGGGGGTGCTGCTCGGCAGCAGGCTCAATAGGAGTCAGCCATGTGCCCTGGCAGCCCAGAGGGCAAACCCCATCCTGGGTGCACCAAACACAGCATGACCAGTCACTGTATTCAACGTTGGTGTGGCCTCACCTCGAGTACTGTGTGCAGTTCTGGGCCCCACAATTTAAGGAGGGTGATAAGGTCCTTGAAGGTGTCCAGAGGAGGGCAACAAAGCTGGTGAAAGGGCTGGAAGGCATGTCCTGTGGGGAGCGGCTGAGGACCTTGGGCTTGTCTGGTTTGAAGGCAAGGAGGCTGAGGGGCGACCTCCTTGTTCTCTGCAGCTTCCTGAGGAGGGGACGTGGAGATGGAGGTGCTGATCTCTTCTGCCTGGTATCCAGTGATAGGACGAGTGGGAATGGTTCACAGCTGTGTCAGGGAAAGTTTAGACTGGATGTCAGGAAGTATTTCTTTACTGAGATGGTGGTCAAACATTGGAACAGGCTTCCTAGAGGTGGTCGATGCCCCAACCCTGTCAGTGTTTAAGAGGCATTTGGACAGTGAACTTAATAACATACTTTAACTTTTTGTCAGTCCTGAATTGGTCAGGCAGTTGGACTAGATGGTTGTTGTAGGTCCCTTCCAACTGAAATAGTCCTATTGTATTCTATTTGACTGTTTTGACAAGAAACAAAACATAATGTTTCATTCTTAGTTTGTATTAGTATTTCTTTAACTCATGATGTCATGCTGTATTAATCCAAACCACCCATATTTTGATATTTCAGAGTTACTAGGACTATAAGTTGCTAGTGCTGTTAAGTTTTGTTTAAGATGGGGGAACATCTAGACTTTTTAAATGATGAAATACAGTTAATGTAGTCACTGCTAACCAAAGCTATTGCTCTGCTTAGTTAGAGGAGTAACAGGCATCTTTGTCAATGGTTTTTTTTGTGTGTATGTGGTAGAGGATGTATTTCTCATAGTATTGAAATTTTGTCTCTTTCTTCTTGATTCTTACAATGTCTCCTTTGTTTTCTATTTGAAGACAGGTACACAACCTTTTAATCGTGCAATGCTCTTTAACGTTGGCTTCAAAGAGGCTATGAAGGATGCTGTCTGGGACTGCATAATATTTCATGATGTGGATCACTTACCTGAAAATGACCGAAATTATTATGGATGTGGAGAAATGCCACGCCATTTTGCAGCAAAGCTGGACAAATACATGTACATGTAAGTAATTAGCTTTATTCACATTGTTTATTAGAGACCCAGAAACATTCTTTAAGTGTGTGTGAATTTTGTGACAGTATATGCAGTAGGTGAAGCAGTTAAAACAGCCTCCTACCACGCTATATACATAAATGAATATCTAGTTATTGAAAGGAGGATTTAAGTTTCGTGTCTACATTTGGTATATTGCTAATGTGAAGATATTGTTTATAATTTTCAGTGTTGAAGTTGTTGCAGTGAGGTTGATCTTTAAAAAAAAAAAAGCTGTGTGTGTCAAGGGGGGAAAATTTACGTAGCTTATTAGAAATCTTTTCTGACTACATAAGCCTTTATGGTGGCTGTTAACAAAGATAAGCTGGTAATCTGCAGCAAAATACCACAGGAAAAATATCTGTCCTTTCTCATAAATGTACACTTTATTTCTGCTTTATCCTGCTTTTCTGACAGAAGGTTTTCTCACTGCTAGACCATTGTGTACCTTCTATTCAGTCTCTATTGATGTTTGATGAAAGTAGTGGATCCTGCAGTTTTCTTACCTCCTTTCCTTCTGCCATTTTACATTAATGAAGTTTCACTCACTTTAACACTGCTATCTCGTGACACTTTTCCAGTCACTTCACATAAAGCAGTAGCTTATTGCTTGCTACATGTATGTATTTGCCATCCTGAAATTTTAATTGTGAAGTTGATCAACTTGACAACTTGGTCAACCTGACAGATCAAAAGCAATGCATTGAAAACATGACTCTGTTTGGACTTCAGGTTGTCAGCCAATTAGCAGTCAGACCTTTAAAGATTTTATATGTATTTAAAAATATATAAAGAAACACATATAAACATAGAAGAGATTTTTGTCTATCTTTGTATATATTTATAAAATACCTTGTGCGTTTATGTATAACTTATAAAATTTATAAAATGTCTACATATGGGGAAATATTTACAAAATACGTTTATTAAATGTGTACATATAAATACATATTTATAAAATATAAAAAATTATATATTTATGTATATATACATAAAAAGTATACATGCACCACACACGTATGAATAAAAACCTGAAACAATTCCATTAACTGTCATACTCCAGTTGTTCAGTTTTTTTTATTTTTGGTTGGTAGGTTGGTTTGGGGTCACTGGTGTTTTTTTGTTGGTTGTTTGGTGGGCACTGTTTGGTTTTTCAGGTTTGTGGGGATTTTTTTGTTTGTTGTTTTGGTTTTTTGTTTTTTTTTTTTTTTTTCCACTTTTAGAATACCTGTTATTTCAGTTAAATGTTGAAAGGGATATATAGTAACAATCTTACCCAAAATCTATTAAGATTTGGTTGAATCCTGTGTTTCCACAGAGATCAGAAATTACATGACTGTATTTCTTTTTCTTTCCCTTGCATTCTGGAGTTATTTGTCCTTCAGTGTGGCAATTGTGTCCTAAGCAATGGTAAATCTTTTTGTAGATAGTTCTAACTCCTTGAAGGTTCCAGATTTGGAAGCGTCTCCCGAGAAGTATGTTTGACTACTTTTACTTGATGAAATTGTGTGCTGTTTCTGAAAGAGGAACACACTTTACTGTACCAGCTTCTGGATTAAAGTCAATATTCATGGAAGTAAATATAGATACTTAATTTCTTTTTTCTTTCTTTTTTTTTTTGTTCCAAATAGCTTCTCGAATTGTTTTGAGAACTGCAAATCACATTGCCTGGGTGTTAGGTTATGTTCTATAGCTATAGTGCCTGTTCGTGTTGGCCAACTGCTTATTACTTAATAATATGTATTAGTCATTACTGTATGCTTACTGACAAAAAAGTCTATAGATCCTTTTGATTCAAAAGTTTAGGTTCTAAAAACTGGAAAATTGTTTTTAAATAAGTATGTATTTAACTGTGGTTGAATATGCACTGTTAAACTGTTCCTCTCAAGTTTTAACAGTTCTGTAAAATACAGTTATGCATCAATTCACTAATTTTAATTCATTACTATTTTGTAATTTTTTCAGTTGATTAAAGAGAGGGTTTTTTCAGTTGAGTAGTGTCTAAACACTATAGTTTGTGTGCTTCACTTAACACTTCAGCTATGGGTCTAAATCAGCTGTCTGAAATAACGTGATAGACTTTTGTTTCATGTGGTGATACTAATTTGAGCTACAGTTTAAGAGTAACTTCTATGCAAATCAGACTCTACTGCAAACTTTTTGCTCACTTTCCATATATATTACTTGATGCCAGCAATCCGTGAACCAGTTTCCCTTAGTGAATACATTCAGCATCTGTTCACATCCTTAGTTTGAGGCCCTTATTTTTTTTGAAGGGTCTTGTTCAAAGAGAGGGCTACCTATCTAAGTTCAGCTAGTGGTACAGAATTTGTCTTTTGTTTTCAGTCTTCCGTACAATGAGTTCTTTGGTGGTGTAAGTGGCTTGACAGTGGAACAATTCAAGAAGATCAATGGGTTTCCAAATGCCTTTTGGGGATGGGGTGGAGAAGATGATGATCTTTGGAACAGGTGAGTGTTCAGTGCTTATGTCTTTCTCATTGTTCTGTGGTATCCACCCTTTGAGAGCAATTAGGTGTCTTCTGTCAGTTGTTACCTTTTCTGTTTGTTTTAACTTAACAAATTCTAACATTTCTAAAGAGCTCACTTTAGAAATACCAGAACATACCCTTTGAAGGGATAAGAATGATGTTCTTTTTTCTTGAGCTGGGTACAGCTGACAGGCTTTTAAGTGGTAGGTCTTGTGACAATAATTGATATAAGTAATAACAGTATAATAGTATTAAGCATATTTAGTCTTATAACTTCTAGTCTTATGTGTGTCGCTTTTTGATTTTAATTTACATACCTTTTGCTGCTAGCATTATGGAATACCTTCCCACAGACATGTAGAATAAGCATGAGTTTAAGAATCTTTCATATCTTAGGATCAGGCTTTGAGAGAGGTAAATTTGTGACTATATTGGTAGTCACAAAGTGGACAATGGACGACAGTGCTTACTGTATTGCTAACTGCTCACAGTAAACAAGTGTAGAATGTTCCAGTTGAGCTGTTGAAACAAAGTGTCTACATTAGTTTATATAGAGAGATATATTTAAAGGAAGAGTTTGTACGCTTTTATTCTTTTTCTTTAGTATTTTCCTATTTTTATGCTGTTTGCTTTAAGGGCAAAGCAAGAAATACTAAATATAAAATTTATTATTTCATACTTTACTGGTTTTGCCAGCTATTTGTAGTTGTTGAATTAGGAGTGTTTGGGTTTTTTTAGGGAGAGAATGTCAGTGAACATGAAGATTTAGCTTTAGAAGATTGGATGTGTATTTTTCATTTTTGCTATAACTTGTAAAACCATCTTTTTATCACTCTTCATGCAAATGTTTATGTATTATACTGCAGGGTTCACTATGCTGGGTACAATGTAACAAGACCAGAGGGAGATCTAGGGAAGTACAAATCCATTCCTCATCATCACAGAGGTGAAGTCCAGTTTTTAGGACGGTAAGAAAGACAAACAGGGAACTGTTCAAATACTAGAGCTAAAGATGTAAATTTTTTTCTTCCACACATACAAATAAACAGCCAGTGCTCGTCAGTGTTATTCCCTTTTTAGTGCTAAACTTTTTATTTTCTTAAACACATATTTGGTGTTCAGATATTTCTTCTTTAATCATGAGAGAGACTGTATTTGCGTCAGAAGATACTGTTGTCATAATCTTTGATGCAGAATGTTATTGTTCCTTAATGGTTTGGGCATTAGAGCTGGCAGGGCTGCATTAGTTGATTAATTTGGATATTCTGCAAGAGGAAGCAGTACAGCTAGGGGTATGACTCCTGTGTGAAAACAGACTTTAAAACTCCTCAAGGCTTGGTTTCTTCCATCATATTTCATTCTTTTCTGAGATACGGGTCTTCTGGTTTCCTGCTTACATTGACAAGAGCCTTTTCTTTTGGGATTCCTTTCTTTTGCTGCAAAGTTTCAAAACACTTTATCTGGACAGTAGGTTTTGGCTGCCCCAGATTGGAATAGCAACCAGAATGCAGTAGATAAGCTGCACCTAAAAACTAGAATGTTAAATACAAAATGAAGCGTTGATGGTATGTGTTTTCAGATAATTAGAAATATCACTCAATTCTGTTAACAATGTGTGTCTCTTTCTGGAAACATTTTTATTTTCTGCCTTTTTCATCATTTTTAAATAGATGTACAGTAGACACAAGTAAATATTTGATATGAAACTAAAATGTATATAGTAGAAAACTGGGAGAGGGGAACTCGTTTTTTAATCACCTCAAATTTAGATGTTTGCAAATGCAGGAGTCTCAAGAATGAAATGAAAAACAATTGAGACACTTAAATATGTAAGGATGAACAATGAAGGTTTCCAAATTTGAGCTATATCTTTGAATTTTATAGCAAAAGAACATGAAGAAATTGAATGTTCTTTAAAAATCAGTTTAGACCACAAAAAGTATACATATCAAATGCCTTCTTTATTAGTCTTAATGTTAACTTGCATATCTGAACATAGAATTTAAGTGTATTAAAAAACAGAAAGTGGTTTGCTTTTAAAGCTTATGTAGGCAATTTTGTAATTTCAAAGGGCTGAGAGGTATCTTCAGAATTTAAAGCATATTTCAAAATGAAATGACTGTTACAGTAGCATGTCGAACATCAATTGAATTGCTGCTTGAAAATCTTTTTCACATTTTCTTCTTCCAACTCCCTCTGCAGATATAAACTTCTGAGGTATTCCAGAGAACGTCAGTATATTGATGGGTTGAACAATTTAATATATACTCCTAAAATACTTGTCAGTGGATTGTATAAAAATATAACTGTTAATCTCCTACCAGAACTTGCTCCTGTTAAAGACTATTGATGGAAGTGGGATGACAAACTACCTACCAGAATAAACTTTTAACACTGGAAGATACTAATTGACACTGTAAACCAAAACAAAACCAAACCAACAAACAGCAGCTTAGAATTAGAGAGTTTTGACCGTCTGATGATGCGTATTTGGGATGAGAAGTGATTATATGTACCGTGCATTTTGTTCTGAAAGAAAAGCCAGCAGCTACCACTCAGATGTTTACAGCATGAGACTACTGTTCAAGCCTTCATTCTTCATAGTCCCTATCTTAACCACTCAACTAAATAAACCGCAGAAAACAGACTTGTAGCTTCTCTGGAAGTAGGGGCAGAGGCTTCTTCTTCCAGGAATTTTTTATACTAAACCACCCCCCCTCGTATTTAAATGAATGCTTTTGTTTCTTTTTAAAATGTGTTTTGTAAATATGTGATGTAAATTAATGTGTGTACATTGCTTTTAAATTGCTCGATATTTTATGCTTCAGTGTGTATTTGAGCGTGTTCTTGTTTGAATTCTATAGGAATGTTTTTATTAGCATGAAAGAACAGGTGTAAAATGTAAGTATGCTTTAAAAAAAGGTTATACCTTATGTGAAATGAAGGAAATATTAATTGTTGGCCAGCTATGACTGTAAACTGTTATACTAGTTTTGAGCTCTAGGCCTCCTGCATATCTATATAGAAAAATCAATTTCATATATGAACTTGCTAGAAAGAAAGCTTTTAATTTAATTTATTGCTGACAAAATTGTATGATACCCTGCCTGCCATCTAAATCCTATTTATATGCATATTGCATGTGTATTATGGAAAATCTTGCGGTTGTTGCATATTATGATCTGCAGGAACTCTTAACTATTTCCACGTGTGCCACTAGTGTCAATGTCAGGGATTTTAATGCCTAAAACAATGTGTCTGGGTGTGTACAGTATTCTGCTATTGTTCTTCTTTTTCTTCTTTTTTTTTTTTTTTTTTTTTTTTAATAAATCCTAGTAAATGGCACTTTTATTCCTCCAAAATCAGAAGAGCCAAAAATGTGTCTTCATTGGAAGAATAGTAAAGTTAGATTTTTAAGAAAATAATAAAACATAGTTCTAATAGTTTTAATGCTTGCAGTGTGGGATTTTCAGAACCACAATGTTGGTCCAACTATTCCGCTGATAAAGATGATGCCATAAGCGGAACTGAAAGCAGGCCAATCCCAAGTGCTTTTTAAAATTCCACACATAATATATTAATCAATATAGCTATTTAAGGACCTATTCTGGTAGAGTGCTGAGTGCTTCTAAGATGCTCAGAGTATCCTCAAGTCAATGACTTTCAATGAGATTGAGGTTGCGCAGTCCCACTAGGATCGGTCCTGTCTGTTTCTCTATTTTTGTCGTGTTGTATGTATGAGTAACTAGCCCCTTTCCTTGGCTTGTAATGAAAAACATATCTTATTTTCTGTTTGCTTGTAATGTTATGCTACCTAAAAGTATCCCACTGCTAAGCATTACTATCTTTTCCTAGTATTTTTTTTACATCCCTTGTTAATAGTAAGGAAAAGGACCGAGTCATTTATTTTCTACATTAATGCAAAGATACTGACCGAGATCTACTAAACTGTTTTGTTTGTCACAGTTACTCAACTCTTTAGGAACCAAAGACTGATGCCTGCTCCCATGAAGAATGGAAAGCAGTATATAATAAGGATTGTTCATCCGTAGAGTGTTCTGTAAGAGTGTTGACAAAGAATACTAACTTTAACTCATTATTATGTGTTGATTTCCTGAATTGCTGCCACAGATGGTGTGGTGCTTTGTATATTTGAGTTTGTTTGCCATAAACACCTTTTATTTCTTTGACATCCCAGCAGCAAATTTTGCCCTTGGCCATTCTTCAGTAAAGTTATAAACTTAGTTGTAGGCATCCCAAATATGTAGTAGAAATGTAAAGATTTAATTTAAGTAGTCCAGAACAATTGTAAGGGATGTTTTAAACCATACTGAAATTACCTTAAAATCTACCAGTTAATCTATTATGCGTTAGGAATGATGTAATGCAATGAAAATAACAAAAAGCATAAAGTGAACAAAACATCCTTCAAAAGCATGCTTAAGTGGTTTGATCACCTCCTGATATATTTTTCTATAACTGAGTCTATAGAATATTCTGAAGCATATGGATAAAGAGGAGATAATTAGTACACTGTATGAACAATTATATCTTCAAAATAAAATTAGTCTTATTTCATAACAGACTAATACAATTCTTTAAGAACTGTTGAATAAATTTCTAAATCCCTGATGCAATTTTCAAGTGATTTCTGGTTTTTAGTACAAGTTCACCTGCAATTTAACACCTATGATTATGAAACATCCTTTGGAACTGTAGGTCTGTACTGTTTTCTGAAGCATGCTTTTGTGCCCATTTGTTAGGCATTCTGTGAAATTAATGTGCAATTTAAAAAAAATTCTAGTGCATATATATGTATATATACATACATATATACATACTATATTACACATATACTGTAGCTGAACTAATATAACTTTACAGCTCTAAGTGATTAATCATGTATAGTCTTAGAAAAATGTGATTTAAACCAGTATGTGAATGGATTATGATATACAGCTCAGTTCTTAAAAAGTTTACATTTTGGTGCCCCAAAGTGATGGATGTTAAATTATGAATTGTTAACCAACACTCTAAATACCTTTTATCACTTTGTTGGGAAGTTTTAAAAGTTGCCATCTTAAATTACATCAAAATAGTGTTTGTATACTACCTGCTTGAACTCAGTACTATTCTGTAGTGAATTTTAACATAGACAGTGCCTTCAAACAAAATAAATGTGATGCAGAACTAAGAGTTGTGCACATTCCTTTTGATATTTTCACGATTCTTGTAAAATATAGGGAGAGGCCAATCACATTGGCTTTTGCATTGCTGACCAGGCAAATTGAGGACATCTTCTCTTCAAGGAGTGAACATGGAGGGAGAAGAAGGAGGGAGTATTTTACAAGATCCTGAAGGTCTAGCAAATTAACAAGTGAAAATATTACAGAAATATTAACAATGGAATCTGTTTGATATGCTAAGACACTCTTAAGCCCATTTGCCGTATTTCAGATATAAGTAGGAGAATATAAAGTATAATCCACCCTGCTATAGACAGTATATTGAAAAGCAAGCGCAAAATGTCCTTTTTCTTGGATCTTGCCAATCTATTTTTCTATCATTATGTTTACTAATGACTATGTTGTGGGTTACTAATGAGCCAGTTATTTAAAAATATTAAAAGGATCCATTGTGTATCAGCAAGAGGAAGTGTACTTAAGATTATTTTATTTGTAGAGGTATGTAAGATAGGCTTAATGAAAAATGCACTGAAACAAATGCTGGGAATTTCCTGTGTACTATCATAGATTTGTTTTTCTGTTGTTCATGAAAATGTTTGTACTTTTTTATCATTGTCTTTTATGAAATATAATGTTCTAAAGATTGTGTTGGTTTGTTTATTCTGAGGAGAACATATCTTCTTTGTGTTTTGTTTATAGACAAAGTGCTCATTTTTCCAGTGCTCAGTTCCTCAAAGTAACAACAAAAGGAAGGGACACCTGGCCAGCAAACACCTCAGGTTAGGCTGTGATGCAATCAAGCCTTAGGCTAACAAATCCTTTTCCCTTTTTTGGTGTTTATGTGCTTTCAGCTTTTGGTTTTATTAGGCTCAATGACTCAACATTTTTGCGTACTTTTCCAAGATAGGGTTGCTTTTCTGTTAAATCTCCAAATGGCTTTACTCTATACTTATTTCTGTTTAGGAGTAATCTTCCTTATATAGAAATTACAGTAATGGGAAAATAGAAGGATTCATCCATATCTCTCCTAGCATTAGATAGGGAGCTGGTTTTCTCAGGAATCAGTTATCTTTCTTATTTTTTGTTGTATCTTATGGCTATTATAGTAAGTGTCTCATGGTTAGAGGTATGGAAGTAATTTTGGGGAGTACTTCAACTGGGTACAAAGGTATCTCAGTATTTTATGAAAATACATGAATAAACTTCAAGCATGTTTGGATGGATATACTTTTCTGCAACACTGGATATGGACTCTCCTTGAAAGTATCACCAGTTACAATATATTGGAAAGCAGGAAAGAAGGCGTTTTAAGTACATGTATCATCCTTAACATCCTTAACTGCTGTTCTACCTTGCTGTCACTTTTAAGCTGCTTTTGCTTCTGTATCTTAACGATCAGAATTGGGAGGTGAATTTACCTGATGATTACGTGGGGCCCTGGGTGGTAGTCCCATGTGACTTCATGTGTTGTGGGCTTCAGTAATAAAGTATAGATGATGGTAGGTGGTGGATTGCATTCCCTGTGTGCTTACTTTTCATGAGACACCTTTCAGATGTGTTTGGTTTGCTTCCTTTGCAAGAAGGAATGTAGTTACTAACTTCATGGAAGACTTTGGTTTATTCTCAGTATCCCAGTAATGGAGTTTCAATGCATTTTTTTTTTTTAATCATAATGTGTTTTTTCAAACCCTAAACTTGTATTTGGAAGAGCAATACTTACAGAATACAGAAATACAGAATACTTTTATTCAGAAGAATATTTGAAAACAAAGGCAATACATCTTTCTAAAGTTAACAAAGTGAATAAACAACTTGACTGTTACTGATTTACTGTGAAATCTAAAGCTGTTGATACAGTCAGAAACTTAAGATCTTATCATTTATGGAAATTTTAATTTGCACAGCTAAATTTTCATGCTTATTATCAGCTTCTATTCCACCGGCTCACTAACTACTGCTGTAGTTGAGTAAGAAAAGGGACTGAGGATAACAGCAATGGTGTAATGTCGATAACCAGCATCATTAGCTGTGAACACCACCTGGAAAAAGAAAAAACAAATACAAGACAAATCAGAAGTGATCCCTAGATACAGGCCTAGATAGAAACCATTGTGATCATTTTATCTAACCTCTCACAAAACTTTAGAAATCTTGTGCTGATTTGATCACTGTGATCCCTGACTGCCTGTCACACAGTTTTTCCACTAGTTAAATATCCTTTGTTAAAAGCAGATGTCACTTATTTTTTAAAATTTTATCAAATACATTTATTACTCAAATTGGGGGGGTTTTGTTGGTGCTTATAAATGGCAACAAGATTTTTTTCCTTATTAAAGATTTACATTGAACCCTGTTGATTATTGTTAAAAAAGCATTCTTTCAGGTATCTGAATATTTTTGTTGCTCTTATGAAGTCCTGAATTTTGAAGAACAGAATTAAACAGAGTGCTACAGTAACTATCATCAAGTCAAAAAAGGAAGCAATATGTTTCTTTAGTCCTACTTACACACCCAGTAGATAGTGAAGGACTGCTTTAGTCCTTTGGCCACAACGTCATAACGACCTTATGTAGGAATTATTTACAACAGCCTTTTAAACATCTTCCCTATCAGCTCCTGTCCTTGGATTTTTCCCTCTACCTAGTAGATCATTTTCTGTCGTGAGATGATGGATGTCAACTTTTAAAACAGACACAGTTTAATAACATTCTGTGATGTGTAGCTTGTGCTCCTTTCAGCATTAATAAAAAAGATGCTTATGAACCAACCAGTGAACTGAGCAAAACATGATCCCTACTGAGGCTTATTTTTAAGAAAAGAGGCTCTTGCACTTTGGATTAAATTAATTTGTAGTCTGGAATATAGATCTAAACAACATCTTGATGTATAATCAATTTACTTGCATGGTGTAAATCTTTAATTTTACATCTTTTATTTCAGTTGTCGCAGAAGGCAAGACTATCCAGCATTAGCCTTCATTGCCTAGAATGAGAATGTCATCTCTTCCATTTCAGAGATGCAGAAACAAAATTTAACCGGGGTGTTTGCCATCTTTTCTCCAAGGAGAGGAGGAATGGCTGTTTGAGCAGCAGTTGCAAACTGTAGAGCTGGTGGTGTTAACTGATCTGCCACAGTCCAGCAAACACAGGACTGCTGCTGCTGCTGGAAGATCATATGGAAGGGCTGATGCTGTGCAGGGGAAGGGAACAGCCCCCGAGGAGTCCTAAACCCTGCAGCTGGTACCTGATTTGGACCACCTTCATCTAACCAGTTTGTCTGTCCTGTGCAAATTAAAAAAGCCTCTTGCAGGTTTTCTGTTGTAAACTGAGGACCCGAGCATCCGGAACACAGTTCATACTTCCATTATCTTTAAAAATCTAAGTTATAAGATTTGCAGCTGTAAAAATACTGGATCCAAAAGGCAGAAAAATCCTATTCCCAGGAGACTTTACAGAGTACTCCACCTGATGTTCTCCCTCAGGTGTCCGGGAGTAGTCACAGAAAGAATTGCAGGCTTAAGTAGAGGTAGAAGGATGGAAAGCCTCTTCTTAAGTAATGTATCTAAGAGATTATTGAGATTTATGGGGAAGCTAGTAACTAGGTTCTCTCATGAGTATGTTGTTACAGAGCTTTGAGACTGGATTTAAAGTGCTGATGTGAAAGTATTTCAAAGTGAAAAGAAATTTCAACACGTGCAATTAGTCATTGAAGCCTAGGCATATAAAGTATCTTTATTCTTTACAACTGAAGTACGGGCGAAAATGAATACTCACATCAGCGTGGTGATGGAAAGGATTCAAGCCCAGACTCTTCCAGTAAGAGGCTGTGTCAAGCTCAATCTTGTATTTCCCTGTTACAAATTGTTCTTTAGTTGTGAGCTGATGGAGCTCTCCGTTGTCATGGGTTTGTCTGTGTGATGGCAGAAGAATGCACTTTTATATTTTGGTTAAAAGCCCGAGAAAAATGTAGTTCTTGGCAATTGAACTTGAGTGATGTTGTGTAGCTTAAGTAATATGATGAATACTTCTACTGATCTGGAATGGCTTACGTCCATCTGTATTATGGATACTTCAGAGCTTCTCTTGGCATTTGCTACTTCCACGATCGCCACAACGGATGGCTGCCTGCCATGTCACTGCTCTGCATGGTTTGGGGGTGAGCCAAAAGCTGGGGTTATTGTTCATAGACTCTTGGCAGAGTCTTGGAGTTAATTAAATTAACCCACTCAGAGGGAATACTTCACCACTGCTGTAAGCAATGTGGAAGCTCTATGCTACACTTACTGCACAAGTGAGTAAGGTCAACTATCCCGATTTTTCCATAGTTTTCTTTCTTGTTTAAATGTATTGAGTTGTTTTATCAGCATGAATAATTTTTACAGTTGGCTATTTGAAATTTGAGATCTGCTGTTTGAAATGACTGTAGGCCAGCCAGCAGTGTAGCCTTGTGGAATTCCCTCTTGTCTGTATCGATCAGTTCATTTTCCATCCTCAGCAAACAGATGGTTTTGTTTGATTTGAAGATGCTATCAGTGCTATCCAAGGCCATAGTACTGGCTTGAAACACTACACCTTTCAACACCAACCAATTTAGGGCTTGAGAACCAATACGGAATGCTGTCTTTCAAACACGTCTCTTGGTCGAAACCTATTTCTGTGAAATAAGTTATAGAATACTAGGTTTTTGACTGGGTAGGTTATCCGCAAATAACAGTGCTGCTAGTGTCTGATTTTAGTAGTCGCAAACCACTGTTTTGTGTTCTAGCTGCCAAAGCTTTTTCTGAATATATTTTATTCAGATTTCATGCAGAGAAAAATAAAGAATTGAATGCTTTTGATATCACTGTGCATTACTTAAGATTTGTGCTTTTATAACTATGAAGACATAGAACACCATTTGTGGCTTACAGGATGCTCTGTAGTCAGTTACCAGATTTTTTTTTTTTTATTCATTCATATGTCTCTCTTTTTCTTTGTTGTAGATTGATCATGGTTAGATAACTGTTCATTTCTCTAGTAATCTTTCTCCACTAAAACCAAACAGATTTTTAACTGAGAACAGTTGTTTCAGAATCTCTTGCTAACATTCAATTATTTACAAATAACAAGCCTGGAGAGGTTGATTTAGTATTATCACGCCTTTCACATACCTCATCTTAGGGTTACTTTGTTCTTTATTTCAAATGTTAAGTATGTTTCTAAGGCTTCCGTCAACATCCAGCTGTTCAGCAGAGTATCTTTATATAAAGCCTCCTCTAAGATCAGATTTGAAGATAAGTAAACTGAACACTCTCTTAATGGAAAATTTCACGTGTTTCCAGTGACACAATAGACATGAAGCTACCTTCTCACTTGAGGGGTGGGAGGCAATTTAAGTAGTACAATGTGAATAGATTGTTCTTCCCCACCTTGTACAAATACTTGTGGCCTTCACTTGGCCTTTCAAGGACACATATGAGAGCACTGTTGCTTCTGCCAGCCCACTGCTCTATGACACCAAAGAGCCACTTACAATTTTTCAGGGACTTTTCTAGAAACGCATCAGAGTCTGGGATCCCACTACAGAAATTCCTTCACTATGTCAGCTCTAGCCCTTAGGAGCCCTATCTCACTTTTTTTTTAGGTAGGATAGACTGTTAACAGACCTGGAAAGGTCTCAGGTGAGACTTTGCAACTATCTTGAGGAGAAGTGGGATGTTGAATAAAGAATGTTCATTCTGTGTACCCCCTAAGAATTTTTTCAATTTCATTTCAGATTATATTTGAGTAAAAATTGCTTTTGAGTTTTTAAAGTGTTACTATATACTAAAATTGAAAGCAATTTAAAAAAAAAAAGAAACAAAAAAAAAAATAAACATTACATTAGAAATTCTACGATTCTTTTTTTTTTTTAAGACATGACAATGTTTACATATCTGGGAGATTCTTTTTCTTATTTTATAGTAATTGCTTCTCCGTGGGGGAGGAGGTAAGAAAGCTTTATCCCCACATTTTCTCCTTTTTAGCTGATTCCTTTTTCTTGAACTAAAGACTATCGGATATGATGTGGTATATGTTCAGAACAGTCCTGTGCTTTCTCTTTAAAGCTGTGGTCTTGTATGAAATGAAAATCTATTTAGAAAGAAGGAAAATAGCCAGTAAAGGTAGGATTCTCAACCAGAGTCTTAGTTTCAAACAAACTAAAAGAGTCTGCTTGATTCTTCTGGTAACAATGCAGCAGTTCATTGCTGGGTACTAAAATGTAATATAATTCTTTGTAATGAAATTGAAGAGAAGCAATGATCGAATTAAAGGATAGTTTCTTTCTTATGCTCAGGGTAATTATAAAGCATTATAAAACCATTTTGGTAGTTGAAACTGTAGTACAGTTAAAAGGCAGTCTGCACCAAATTCATTCACTGGTATGTTATCTTTCCTCTGAGTAAAAAAGACATCTTTCTTTAGAGAATGTGAAACAGTTTTTTCAACTATTTGGCTTCTTCCCATTGCCTTTCCCTTCTTTC